GGATAGTTTTTAATAATAAAGTGTTTTGAACATTCAACTGGTGTGACTATATAGTAGAATGTGACTATAACGGGAGTGACTATAGAGGGAGTTGACTGTATATACTAGCTCTATATAAGCAATTAAAATTAGATCACAAAGTTAAAATTATATTCTTTTTTTTTTGACATTTCAAGAAGTATATATTAAATGTTTTATGTAAAATGTTTTAAATTAGCTTTTTCTTTTTATTATTTTCAAATGTGTAATAAAATTTTATATGTTTTTAAGGTATTTAAACAGCTGATCCAAAATTTAAACAATATAGAAAAAAATATTTTCATTACTGATTTATCATTTTTTTTTTTCACAGATAATATTGATTATCAGAAGATTTTTTACTTTGAACATAAAGTAATACCATATTCATCCAAAAATAAACAACAACTTTTGTATGTAATGCAAGCTAGTGTTCCGCATGAATCAAATTTCTCCTCTGAAATTTGATTCGATTCGGACTCGATTCAGACTCGATTCAACCCCCAAAAATTATTATCTCAGGATCCAGTGATCCAATTTTGATGATCTATTTTTAATCGATAGGCCTCGTTGCTCTGATCAAAATAAAAAAATGATCGTTGAAATCGGACTGCTAGATCAAAAGATATTTGCAAAATACGTTTTTCTTATTCGGAAGCAATCAGGGTCACACCGTGTCATGAATCGATTCGTGCGGAACACTAATGCAAGCCAACTGGCCAAAATTTAGTAATGCAGGCCAAAAAATTCCATAATTCTGTCTATGTTACTTATTTTCTGATAAATATGGTATTTAATTTTAATAGTAAACATATAGTAATTTATTTTATATTATGACTATACATAAAACTGAAATTGGTTAATTTTAACCTCTGAAATGGTCGAAATGGTTGAAATGATTTTGACTTGAACCCCTCTAAAAGTCGAAAGTCGAAATGGTCAAAATTACGTCATAGTCATATGATTTTATAGTAAACAATAATATTAAAATTCAAAGTTAACGAACTTCGCATCCAGTAATTCGATTTTTATGATCTTTACAAAGTTAGATTAAGCTCATTGAGAGAATCCCAATGATATGTATTTCATATTTGTAGCATCAATATTGACAGAGTTATTCACATTTAAAATTGGTATTAAATAGTCTTATAATTTTTATAGTAAACAATAATTTTAAAATTAAAAGTTAACGATCTAAGCATCCAGTGAATCGATTTTTATGATCTTTACGCGGTTGGATTCAGCTCATAGAGAGGATTCCAATGATATGTATTTCATATCTGTAGCATCAATATTGACAGAGTTATTTACGTTTAAAATTTTATATTAAATTATAATTATAAAAATCACATGACTATAATGTAATTTCATATGGGCCAATTTGACGCATCTTCGATTTTGTCACAACATGATTATCATGATAATTATAAATAATTAAATATTTATTATACAAACTACAAACTACATATTTTTCACGTCCTGATGGTAAACCAGTTGTCTATTTGCTGCAAGCTTTGTTTTAAAGCTTTTACAACTTCCCAAAAATTATTTGTTTATGAAAGGAATAAACATTCACATAATA